CAAAAAATGACCACTGATGTCAACTATGAAAACATGCCAACTAGTGAACTACAAGATGCCAACTAATGCCAACTAATGTCAACTGTATTTAAATCAAAATGACTAGAGATGTCAACTACAAAAGGTTGTTATTGACAGACTAAAAACAAAAAATAGTGTTCCGAACTGCTGCATAATTTCATCACTATCTAAAAAAGGCGAGAAAAAACACTTATATTTGAGATTTTACTTACCCTAGAAGATGACTCAGCTCCCTTGCCAAGTGTTGCACGTCTAGTCCGCTTTACAACACGGAACTGATCAGCATCCTAAGAAAAAAACATGAGCATGGGAAAAAATAAAAAAATGTTATATGACCCAAACAAAACCAAAAAATGGACTTGTGTCATCAACATGCCACTTAGCTCAACATCCTCTCCCTGCTCAACACTCTGCGCAAGTCGTGGCTGGCGATTAGCAGGACGCTTCGAGTTCCGGCGAAGAGGTTGACTTCCAGAACGCTGATTAAGCAACCAAAAAAAACATAGTCCGCTGGGGTGACCTCAACCTCGCCGGAAAATGAGTTCGACCTCCCTAACCCCGACCGCGACCTCGACCTCTACCTCGACCTCCCTGTCAACGACCGCGACCTCACTGGAAAACGAGCGACCTCATCGGAAAAAGGAGGACGGGCGAGTGGAGAAACAAGCAGGGACGAAGACGAGGAGCGCGCGTAGGAGCAGTACCAGAGCCACCGCGGACGACGACCCTCGCGGCGCGCCCCGCGGTCGACCACAACCCAGCGGATTTGGAACCGCCTCCGAGCACCAACCAACGGCGAAAGCAAAGGGGGAAAGTGGAGGAATGGGCGGCGAGAGGTGGGGGTGGACGGGGTAATGGCACGAAATTCGAAACCGCCGCCCACTACGCACGACGGCTAAAACGCTGGAGAACTGCCTAATCCTCGATGACATGTGGGACCCACGAACGATTTATCTCGCGGGCGCGGCGCAAATCGGACCAGGCGACTGGTCCACACTCGGGTCTGAGCGGCGCGGCCCCACCTCCCGACCAGGGGACACCTGGACACCGCGCGGCGTCGATCGGGACGAGATCGAGCGGCTCTCGTTCGGCCGCTCGTTCTGTCTATTTAGTGGCCGGCCGCTTTTTAGATTTCAGGTGGAATAATGGCCATCACGAGCCTTAATCTCCTGCTCAGTTTGTGGGCTGGACTGGGCCTGAGTGTTCCTTACCAAAAATTGGCATTTTTAAATTTGACTAGAACCCCATCAGCTTTTGATTAAAATTTGAATGCCCTTCAAATTAGACTTGATTTCAAATTACTCCCTCTGTTCCGAAATACATGTCGCTGGAGAAAACCAGTACAACTTCTGCCACATTACGATTTTTTTCACTTTCCTTTTTTAACCCTCGCATCGCCCACGCCGCTCACTCCCTCGCTTCTCACTCATCACTCTCTATTCTCCCTGTCGCCTCTTGTCTGCCACCTCGCCGACCACCACCTCACCCCGTCGCCGCCATCTTTCTCCCGCCTCCACTCACACCCCACCACCTCACCCAGCCCGCTCCACTCAGCTTATAAAATGATTTACTTAATAATCTAAGGCAATTTTTCAGAAAAAAAAGGCCACAACCCAACATAGAAAAACATATAAAATTTGACTTATTCTCTATCAACTAAAGACCAGTACGTAATACAAAGATATCGTGGATCAATTAGAAAGAGAAGAAATTAAAGGTGTGCCTGCTCTCAAACTTTGACAAAAGAATGATAGGATATTTATACACCGCTGACCATGTAGCATATTGAGGCTAAATTTTCACCGCATTTAATTAAGCTTCCATGTTTGCTAGTAGGCAAATTGGAGAAAAAATGTACGCAACATATATGGCAATTAATTATCCTATTTACTTTTAGTACATAGATTATTTAGCATAGTTACGCAACCACCTCCTTTCCCAAAAAAGTCTAGGGTTTCTTGGCGCCGGTCCGCCTCGTCTCCGGTGGCCTTAGGGCCATGGCGACATGGTGGATACCAACCCTTGCCGGCGGGAGGGCTTCGTTTTTAAATATTCCTTCGAGTGCGTCTAGCATTATCGATTGATGTGTGGAGGTGTGTCTCCGGCGGATCCGTCCTTGTTGGATTTGCTTGGATCTGGTCATAAGTCGTCTACATTCGTGTGTCTTTAGGTGGGATCCTTCCGATCTACCCTACTCTTTGGCAGTTATTGTTCTGATGCGCTGGTCCTATGAGACCTTAGCATGACGACTTCCCGACTGTCTACTACAACAAGTTTTGCCCAGCTTCGGTGAGGGAGGGGCAATTACGGTGGCGCGTCTTCTGCTCACTTCAGTGCTTTTAGTCGTCGCTAGGTTGTCTATGAATCCGGATGTAATTTTTACTATGTCTAATGTTTATTGTACTACCATGATTGAAAATGAATAGATCAGAAGTTTTCCAAAAATAAATTATTTAGTATAATTATATGATATTGAGCTAAAATTGAGCGAGCCAGTGTTGACTTACGATCAGCTCGTTTCTTGATCGAGCTATATAAAATGCTCATACCCGGCTCATTTATTTGCGAATCAATCTCGAATTGAGTCAAAAATATGAGTCAATCTCTTAGTCTTGAGTTGCCAGGTATGCCCAGTCCACGACAGCCGGGACCGACCAAGGCCTAACAAGCAGGCGAAGGGCCCATCTTCCGTCACATGCATACCTGGACACTTTGAAACATATGCTCTTCGGCTAGCAGCTTGGCAGTGTGTTCTCATTGCTGTTTCTGTTTTTCAAGCAAGTGCTGTTGTTTATCCATACGTATGTTTGCAGTCTCTAAACGTATGCTATCGGAGAAAAAAATAAATCATAATGCAAACACAAGAAGCAAATCACATGACTGAATCACAACAATATACTGTAGCTCATAGTGATAGAAGTTAAGGCCCTGTTCGGAGTCACCCCAACTCCTAAAAATACGAGGAGCTGGAGCATCTCTTTCCCAGCTCCGTGCCTTTTGACTCCAGCTCCGGGAGCGGAGTAGTGGAGTGGCGGATCTCCGAACAGGGCCTAACTACTACTCCCTCCGTCCGGAAATACTTGTCATCAAAATGAATAAAAAAGGATGTATCTAGATGTATTTTAGTTCTAGATACACCATTTTTGTCCATTTTGATGACAAGTATTTTCGGACGGAGGGAGTATTTTTTAAAGAAACTCGGCCCTAAACTAAAGATAGGCATGGCATCAAACCAACTTTAAATGCACAGCTAACTAAATTTGACAACTAAGGATGGAATAGAATAGGAAGACCTTTTATTCAAAGAGTCCACTTAAACTTTTTTTTGTTTGTTTTTGGCATGGTGAGAGTCCACTTAAACTAACCAGTCGGTAGGGAAATGAGCCGAGATATATAAACAATCCCCAGATAATTACCTAAAGCAACGCTGTGCACCAAAGCAACTTCAGATTAGCAAATAGCTGCAGGTATGACAAGACATGCGCGAACCAAACAATACACCACTTCCAAACCCTAGATAGTGAGCTTTAAGCTAGTGCTGTTATGCGTTTATATTCTTAATATTTGCACCAATAATTTCGTGATTTCCACATTACAGCCACTCGCTTCTGCAACTTGAGAAAACAAACACAAGTCCTTTCATTTAGACCAAAACCTTGGAAAAATGGACCACCTCGTTAACTCTGCCAGCCCTAACAGCAAATTATGCTGGATAGATTACAAAAATGCACCAGTGATCTTAAAAAAAACAGTAATAACGTAAATAAAAGAATAAGCTGTATTGCTCAGTACGACCCAACTTGATTGCCTTGACTGCACCAGGAAACTCTCAATCTTTAGTGCAGTCTTCATAACCTAATCTGGTCGGTAGAAATATTTTAATGTGTCTGTGCTCTGTTATATTTGAAGAAGGGTACTACTCCATGACGAAAGAAGTCTAGGATCCCTAATTTGGAAAAACTTCCATAATGTATAATGCTAAGATTGGGATGGTCCAGATCAAGTCAAGCTGGAAGAGCAAAGATTATATTAGGGGTGAGAATTGTGAGAGTACTCTTTGCTTAGGGGTAAAGCCGCATGGCTGTGTTAACTTGGTTATACAGAGTAAAAAGAAACTCCTAGCAAGCAAAATACAAGAGTCACTGAGTTACCTATGACTATGAGGCTATGAAAACTGTTACTCCTTGTCAAAAATTACCATAATAATAAAATTGAATTAGCATTAATTTGTTAGTCAAAGGTTTTTCAGCATACTATCAGACTGAATACCGATCTCCGGTATCCCTGATTTGATCATCAAGGCTGTCACTGTGGATCCTGGTTTTGATGTCACCCTCAATATATTACCACAGAGCTGAAATAAGGCATGAATGAAGATAACATGGTACAGATCGAAGATAAAATCCAATTTACAACACCAGGAAATGCTATGTTTATGTGGAGAGAGGAAGAATGAAATCTTTGTGTTTGAAATTTTGAATCACACAGTTCTTCACCAACGGTTTTGTTCCTGCATGCTGTTGCTGCCACAACAGCTTCAAAAATTGTAACCACCAAGATCATGATAGTGTGTGTGCTGGTCATGATAAAAATTATATCCATGTTTTTTCATCTAGCTTTAGCTCCCATGGATAAAACAATGCTAGTTCAGTGCAAAAGGGAAAATCTTGCACAATGGCCATTCTGAAATCTGAATATAAATGTTATTTTGGAAATTACTATGTGAAACATCACTACGAGTCTATGATTAGTGGGAATCAGTTTAAGAATTCACTAAAATGCATACATCACCAGTAAAATGAAAAAAATAAAAATGAAACTTGAAAACACTGAAAATAAGGAGGAGCAAGCCATGGAAGACAGGATATCAACCCTGTCCTGTGCAGTAGACAACAGCAGACATTTTGATTTCGAGTGACAAGATACAGCCCACAATTGCTTATGCAACAACATAACGAAACAGCTAGTGCGTACCATTATCACTTTCCAAAGAGCATGTTCATGACAGCCCTGAAGACATGCCCCCGCTTGACGGTGCCGCTGCGCACCCCCTCCTCGTCCAACACGAACCCCTTCTTCTTCATCATCTCCAGCAGAGCCTTCCCCTCTTCCACCTTGTTCATCCTGACGTGCGCCTCAAAGGTAGCCAGGCACGTCTCAACATTGGGCCGCATCCCACGGTCGAGCATCTCCAGCAGGTACTTGCCGGCCTCCGCGCACCGGTCGCTCGCCGCAAGCCCCTTGACGAGCACGGCCATGGTGTACGCATTCGGCGCGACCCCGCTGGAGAGCATGCGCTTGTAGGTCCGCACGGCGTCACCCCAGTGGCCGGGGCCAGCATTCGCGTAGGCCTCCAGGACGGCTGTGTGGGCAACGACATCGGGCATGGCGCCCTTATCCTTGATGATCGAGAAGAGAGCCAACGCTTCGTGCGTGAGCCCGTCCTTGGACAATCCGTCGAACATCTTGATGGCATAGTCAGTAAGCCCTCCGGTGCGCATCCGGTGGAAGACTTCCTGAAGGTTGGTGGAGTCGGGTGGGTCTGCCACGGCGGGCTTCTTGCTGAAGGGGTCGTAGGGCGGCGGCAGAGTGGGGTTCTTTGCCGGGGATGCGGGTGGAGGTGCGGGGGGACTCTCGTCGTCGTCGGACCAGTCGAAGGAGACGGGGCTGTTCGTGTTGGGGCTGCGGTTCGGCGGTGAAGAAGCGGTGGAGGAGAGGAGGCGGCAGGCACGGGACAAGGCGGTGGAGGAGGTGGGACGGAGTAGGCGGCGGACTGCGGCGGTGGCCATGGGGTGAGAGAGAGGCGGAGCTTTTTTTTTTTTTTGACCTCGGGAGGGAGAGGCGGAGCACTGCGGCGGTGGTCGAGTCCGTGGATTCTACTCTCACAGAGTACCAGACAGACTACCGATCATTGGACTTGTAGACCGTCGGATGGCAAGCAAGCACACGATGGCCATCGGATCTGCTAGTACAGCCCGGACCCATGGTGATGATTTTGGTTCAAACAAACAGAAACGCTTGGGCTCAGCCAATTGATCTTTCTACGTGTGTTAACCCCCTTCGTGATCATTGGGTCTGATTTTGATTCACACAGATTTTTCAAACTAACTCGGCCCGAAACTAAAGATAGGAATGGCATCAAAGAACAAGGTGTTTCTGTGGAGGTTGGCGAGGCATTCTTGTCGGCCTTGGTTGACGCAAAAACATGTCCTTGGTTGACGCTTTCCCTCTTTGTGACGCGGAGGATTCCTGGAGACATGCACTCATGTGCTGCACTATGACAAGGTTCGTGTGGGCTCTATCCGATGTGAATCTGGTGGAGAAGCTAACTGACAACCGAGAGCCAAGTGCTAAGAAATGGGTGTTCGACGAACCACACGACGACTTGAGCCACGAGCAATTCACTAGGCTAGTTGTCACATTCTAGTCCATATGGTATGCAAGGAGAAAAGCAATCCAAGAATATTCCAAAGTCCTAAGCAAACACACACGTTCATCAATTCATACTTCGATGAAATAATGGCTATAGCCGCATCGGCGATCGCCTAGAACTGAAACCAATTTGAAAAACTATTCTAATATGAACATTTTTTTTGTTTTTATAAAAATTTTTTGAATTTTGATGAAAAATTTTGAATTTAGATGAATATTTTTGGTATTTCATGAACAAAATTTAAATTCAATGATCCTTTTTTGAATTTGATGAAAAAATATTGAATACAAGAATATTTTTGAATTATATGGACATTTCTGAATATGATGAACATTTTTTTGTAAAAAAATCATGTACATTTTATAAAAAAAATTGATTAACATTTTTTGACTTCGATGAACAAATTTTGAATTTCATAATATGTTCAACCAATTCGAAAAAAATACCAGTTTGAAAAACATTCCTGGATTAAGAAAATGTTGGTGAATTTGAAAAAAAATGAAAAAGAAAGAAAATGGGAAACAAAAATAAAGGAAAAAGTAGAAGGGAAAAGAAAAAAAACTAATTTAGGAAGGTTCTAGAGCCTTGTAAAAACTGAAAAGAAGCTGGTGGCCCAGGGCAAGGACACTGATGCGGGAGCCAGGCCTCCAACGTTGTCCCCTAAATGCCCGCCCTTTTTTATTTCCTAATTCCTCAACACAGAGTAGGCGGGGGCACGGGACAAGGCGGTGGAGTAGGCGGCGGACTGCGGCGGTGGCCATGGGGTGAGAGAGAGGCGGAGCTTTTTTTCTTTTTTTGACCTCGGGAGGGAGAGGCGGAGCACTGCGGCGGTGGTCGAGTCCGTGGGTTCTACTCTCACAAAGTACCAGACAGACTACCGATCCTTGGACTTGTAGACCGTCGGATGGCAAGCAAGTACACAATGGCCATCGGATCTGCTAGTACAGCCCGGCCGCATGGTGATGATTTTGGTTCAAGCAAACAGAAACGCTTGGGCTCGGCCAATTGATCTTTCTGCGTGTGTTAACCCCCTTCCTGATCATTTGGCTCTGATTTTGATTCACACAAATTTTTCAAACTAACTCAGCCCGAAACTAAAGATAGGCATGGCATCAAAGATCAAGGTGTTTCTATGGAGGTTGGCCAGGCATTCTTTGCGGCCTTGGTTGACGCAAAAACATGTCCTTGGTTGACGCTTCCCCTCTTTGTGGCGCGGAGGATTCATGGAGACATGCACTCATATGCTGCACTATGGCAAGGTTCGTGTGGGCTCTATCCGATGTGAATCTGTGGAGAAGATGATTGACAACCGAGAGCCAGGTGCAAAGAACTAGGTGTTCGATGAGCCACACGACGACTTGAGCCACGAGCAATTCACTAGGCTAGTTGTCACACTCTGGTCCATATGGTATGCAAGGAGAAAACCAATCCAAGAATATTCCACAGTCCTAAGCAAACACACGCGTTCATCAATTCATACTTGCATGAAATAATGGCTATTGCCACATCGGCCGATCGCCTAGAACAGAAACCAATTTGAAAAACTGTTCTAATATGAACATTTTTTGTTTTTATAAATAATTTTTGAATTTTGATGAACAATTTTGAATTTAGATGAATATTTTTGGTATTTCATGAACAAAATTTAAATTCAATGATCCTTTTTTGAATTTGATGAAAAAATATTGAATACAAGAATATTTTTGAATTAAATGGACATTTATGAATATGATGAACATTTTTATTAAAAAAATCATGTACATTTTATAAAAAAATTGCTTAACATTTTTTGACTTCGATGAACAAATTTTGAATTTCATAAAATGTTCAACCAATTCGAAAAAAATACCAGTTTGAAAAACATTCCTGGATTAAGAAAATGTGGGTGAATCTGAAAAACAAATGAAAAAATGAAAAAGAAAGAAAATGGGAAATAAAAATAAAGGAAAAAGTAAAAGGGAAAAGAAAAAAAAACTAATTTAGGAAGGTTCTAGAGCCTTGTAAAAACTGAAAATAAGCTGGTGGCCCAGGGCAAGGACGCTGATGCGGGAGCCAGGCCTCCAACATTGTCCCCTAAATGCTCGCCCTTTTTTATTTCCTAATTCCTCAACACTCAAAATAACTATAGAAAATAGCCCAGTCTGGGGTGGTAAATCCTAAGCGCCCGTTCCTTCCCTTTTTACAAACGGGCGCACACCCCCGCGGTGCGCTAGGCCGGCCCGCCTTGACTTTTTTCTTTCTTTAGTTTAATCTGAAGGAAAAAGGGTCAATTTGATAAAATGCCACTCAAAATTAGGCGATTCCGAGAAATGCCACTGCAATTTCTAAACTTTGAAAATGTCATTTCATGCCATTTCCAGTGACATCTCTAAAAGTCTGCAGTGGCGTTCCTCAAAGTTTGAAAATTGCAGTGGCATTTTTATGAATCCTCATAATTGAAGTGGCATTTATCTAATTAACCCAAGCAAAAAAAAGGAACTTGGGATCCCTCTGTTCTGTGAGCACCGCACTACCACAAGGACACCGAACCGCTAGTGCAGATATACTTCATTCTGCTCATTTATTGGTTCTTCAGGTCGTGAGAGGTTTCTGTTGGGGAACATAGTATTTCAAAAAAAAAAATTCTATGCACACGCAAGATCATGGTGATCCATAGCAACGAGAGGGGAGAGTGTTGTCCACGTACCCTCGTAGACCGATAGCGAAAGTGTTACAAAAAAGCGGTTGATGTAATCGTACGTCTTCATGGCCCGACCGATCAAGCACGGAAACTACGACACCTCTGAGTTCTAGCACACGTTCAGCTCGATGACGATCCCCGGACTCCGATCCAGCAAAGTGTCGGGGAAGAGTCCTGTCAGCACGACGGCGTGGTGACAATCTTGATGTTCTACTGTCGCAGGGCTTCGCCTAAGCACCGCTACAGTATTATCGAGGTGGACTATGGTGGAGGGGGGCACCGCACACGGCTAAGAGATCCAAGGGATCAATTGTTGTGTCTATGGGGTGCCCCCCTCCTCCGTATATAAAGGAGTGGAGGAGGGGGCCGTCCAAGGGGGGTGGCGCGCCCAAGGGGGGGAGTCCAACTCCCATCGGGAGTAGGACTCCCCCTTTTTTCTATTAGGAGTAGGAGAGGGAAGGAAGAGGAAGGAGGGAGGAAGGAAAGGGGGGCCGACCCCCCTCCCAATTCGGATTGGGCTTGGGGGGGCGTGCCCCCTCCCTTGCTCCTTTCCCCTCCTTTCCACTAAGGCCCAATAAGGCCCATATACCTCCCGGGGGGTTCCGATAACCTCCCGGTGATCCGGTATTGTCCCAATCTTACCCAGAACCTTTCCGGTGTCCAAATATAGTCGTCCAATATATCGATCTTTATGTCTCGACCATTTCGAGACTCCTCGTCAAGTCCGTGATCATATCCGGGACTCCGAACAACCTTTGGTACATCAAAATATATAAACTCATAATGAAACTGTCATCGTAACGTTAAGCGTGCGGACCCTATGGGTTCGAGAACAATGTAGACATGACCGAGACACGTCTCCGGTCAATAACCAATAGCGGAACCTGGATGCTCATATTGGCTCCCACATATTCTACGAAGATTTTTATCGGTCAGACCGCATAACAACATACGTTGTTCTCTTTGTCATCGGTATGTTACTTGCCCGAGATTCGATCGTCGGTATCTCAATACCTAGTTCAATCTCGTTACCGGCAAGTCTCTTTACTCGTTCCGTAATACATCATCTCACAACTAACTCATTAGTTGCAATGCTTGCAAGGCTTAAGTGATGTGCATTACCGAGATGGCCCAGAGATACCTCTCCGACAATCGGAGTGACAAATCCTAATCTCGAAATACACCAACCCAATATGTACCTTTGGAGACACCTGTAGAGCTCCTTTATAGTCACCCAGTTACGTTGTGACGTTTGGTAGCACACAAAGTGTTCCTCCGGTAAACGGGAGTTGCATAATCTCATAGTCATAGGAACATGTATAAGTCATGAAGAAAGCAATATACTAAACGATCGTGTGCTAAGCTAACGGTATGGGTCATGTCAATCACATCATTCTCCTAATGATGTGATCCCGTTAATCAAATGACAACATATGTCTATGGTTAGGAAACATAACCATCTTTGATCAACAAGCTAGTCAAGTAGAGGCATACTAGTGACACTCTGTTTGTCTATGTATTCACACATGTATTATGTTTCCGGTTAATACAATTCTAGCATGAATAATAAACATTTTTCATGATATAAGGAAATAAATAATAACTTTATTATTGCCTCTAGGGCATATTTCCTTCAGTCTCCCACTTGCACTAGAGTCAATAATCTAGATTACACT